CGACACGTCAAATTCGACTGTGGTTACACCAAAATGAGCTCGGTAAGCTTTCCGCCAAATATCAAAGATAATGCTTTTAGAAAATGGTGGCATAGATTGGGAGTTGATCAACGTCGGGAATAACCACGTTTGACTGTTACAAAGTAACAAGTTGGTAGGTTCTAAAGTCACGTGTTGATCCGCCCTCCAATCGGAAATGAGAGAAAGCGTTGTTAAATTAAAACCAGATTAACAGCTCAATTGGAATAATAATATATCACGGGTGGGGGGGGAAACAATTTGGAGATAATAATATTGACATAACATTTGATCTTGTATCAAATATCTCTGGTAGCATTGCTGCCACAACGGAACTGAAGCAATTGTCCACTTGGTGGCACCAGAGTTCCACCGACCGTCGCTTTTTCCAAGCTGTCCTGTGTGGTACATCAAACTGCATTTGAATGTTGAACCACTTGACTTCAATACATCATCAATGCAAATAATGTGAACAATAAAAATAGCCTAAGTCTTTTTATTATTAAAATCTTTCTGTAGAGCCTTGTTTGATAAGGACATTGTGGGGAGGCCTTCATAAAGTTGCACTCTTAAATTACTAGAGGCCAAACTTCAACGACTGCATTGCGAGCTAGGCCAAGCGGTCCTGGCGTATGGTCCTGGCTGCCTAAATGTGTCCTCCACATTATAAACTGTACAAACATGGCACTTTTGAGGCTTACTTTTACAATTAGGCTTACTCAGTCACTACAAGAAATGTCATATCATGGACATAAAATGCCATTAGGCCTAATGAAGGTACAGTATATGTAAGTTACTTGGTTGGTGACTTGTGAATCAATCTGTATGCGCATTAGGGTTCAATATTTTCCCGGTATTTTACAAATGTTCCATCCCGAGAATAAATGTCTTTCCTCCCAGGTAACCCGGTATTAACCGAGAATAAATCACTTTTCTCCCGCAAAAACCGAAAGTGTCATTCAAAAGCATTGTAAAATTGTAAAGCATATACATGTCTGGATTTGATTAGAGCTTTGATCAGCATGAACATTCAAACCTGATTCTACCTGAGCCTGATGAGCCATATATAAAATTTATGAGCACTACATTAACGACATTTAATGAACCCAAGCCCCAAAAAGCCCAAATGATTTAGCCATTATCCAATAGGCTACATACATGATACACTGTAGGCACATTACGACTTTTCATGCTACAAAAAAGGTCAATTTGTCAGAAAGGCACATCAATTAACGTAGTCCCAATCAATGGCAATTGCTGAACTTCATTAGGCAACATTTTAGGTGTTTTGTAACAGATGTCTATTTCCATTCATCAAATGGCGCTAATAGGTTATATATGCAGTTTGGATGCTGAAATAATTTTGGAGTGGAAGAACATGCAAAGAAGTAGCCTACATTTTGAATTGATTTGTTTGACAAATCAGATGAAAATATCATGACTGGTTGTGTTTATGCCACAATAAAAAGGTAATTCATTTTTACCGTAATGTTTAATTGACTACTTTATTATTAGGCACATTAAATATGTTTTCGTGCGCATCAATAGAGACCCCCGAATGCACTCTGTTTTCATCAGAACGGAAATGTGTGTAATTGGTTCACTGAACCCATTCCCTCGTAAATCGCTCCACATCATTTTGATCTTTTAAATGTACTTCTTGTAAAAAACACACAGAGAAGCAAATGGACGACAAATGGGAAGAAACAGTCGCCCTTTTAAACAGGGTTCCTAAACCCTCTAGCGTTTATGCTAGCTAGCTATGTTAAAAATGGACGACATGGGGAAAGGAGGGAAGCGGACAAACTATGACATTCATTTTCAGACTCACTTTAAGTACAGTTCCTCGTTAGGAGGCCTGTCTGGGAAACGGTGGTCCCCGGCGGGAGGACCGTCCACAAAGATAGGGGTCGGGAAAACACTTTCCTCCTCAGAATGTTCCTCCTCAGTCAGTGTGGGTGCTGGAACACCGCTGGGTGCCAGACCGCTGCTGTCGGTAGAGCTCGCGCCTGACAGGGAAAGCAGAGTCTCCTCTGCGCTGCCCGGGTTTCCCGCGCTTTTCTCCTCTGACTACCCGCTTGCAAAACAACTGAAACGACCCCCCCCCCCCCATGGCGGACTTCTCCGTCGCCTCCATGCGGATGAGTGGGGAAACAGGGCTCATCTGCTTCCTCTTGACAGAGCACTTCCTCCTCTCTCCCACGGTGGTCCAGCTCTCCGGAGCAGAGGGCGCGGTGGGCTCTCCGGTAGCCTCCTCCATTGGCTTGCTCCATCTCCTGTCCTCCGCTCTCCTCATGAGGTGATGATGGTGCCTCACTCCCGCTCTCCTCAGACTCTCGCAGTTCTCTCTCCATCACTAGCTCCTCCACGACCTCCTCAATAGAGCATAGCTCTATAACTTCTCCCTCATCTGCTATTTTCCCGCTCACCGCTCTGGCGTAGAGGGGGCACTGACCGAACAGGTGCTCCTCTGAGCTGCACAGACTGCAGCGCTTAGGCACGGTGCAATCCCTCATTACATGCCTCATTACAGGCATCGGTGAGGTGCCCGTACGTGATGCACTTCCTGCAGAAACGAGGCTGCCCAGTATACATGAGGTAGCCTCTGTCTGCACCGATTGAAAAAGACGCGGGAGGATGGCCGCTCTCGTCTTCCTTTAGCAGCACGCGAAACTGCCTCTTCCCTGTCCAGATGCCTAGGGCGTCCTTAATATATCTCACTCCTGGCAAGATGGTCACGTACCGGCTGAGGTAGCACACTAGCGTTTCTTCAGTGACCCAGGGGCTAAACATGTGCATGGTTAGCACCCTCAGATTGTGCCTGCACAGGGACTCAACTTGAAAACAACTGAGGCCGGGTGCTGTCGCTTTCGTTCAGAAGAGCCCTCTCACCTCCTCCAGCCGGGTGATGGCGTAGAACGACACATCATAGAACTTCTCGGGTGTGTTTTGTTGCAGACAGCACCCGCTGTCAGGCATAGAGGTCCAAAAAGAACGTCCTTTCCAAATCGAACTCTTTCCATCAAATTTTATTTTCCAGTCCATTAAACGCAGTGTTATTCACTCCAGCTGCTACCGACTGTGAAGTGGTCGATGACGACATCACTCCACCTTCAGGATCGCTTGGGTACTGCACTCGATCTTGATCTTGGCCAAAAGGCGAAAAGCTATATAGCAATGCTTTCTGCAGGAAGGGGCCGACAGTCAAATTTAACGATGGTTACACCAAAATGAGCTCTGTAAATTTTCCGCCAAATAACAAAGATAATGCATTTAGAAAATGGTGGCATAGGTTGGGAGTTGATAAAAGTCTGGAATAACCATGTTTGACTGTTACAAAGTAACAAATTGGTAGGATATTCGCCCTCCAATCAGAAATGAGAGAAAGCGTTGTTAAATTAAAACCAGATTAACAGCTCAATTAGAATAATAATAATAATATATCAGGGGTGGGGGGGGAAACAATTTGGAGATAATAATATTGCCATAACATTTGATCTAGTTTCAAATATCTCTGGTAGCATTGCTGCCACAACGGAACTGAAGCAATTATCCACTTGGTGGCACCAGAGTTCCACCGACCGTCGCTTTTTCCAATCTGTCCTGTGTGGTACATCAAACTGCATTTGAATGTTGAACCACTTGACTTCAATACATCATCAATGCAAATAATGTGAACAATAAAAATAGCCTAAGTCTTTTTATTATTAAAATCTATAATTTAACAGATTCTCTGTGTTCGTATTCCATATTAATCACTCTCCATTTCTGATTTTCTGTGTTCATATGCCATATTAATCACTCTCCCTTTCTGATTTTCTGTGTTAGTATTACTTATTATCCTCTCAGGGTTTTGTTTATATTATGATAGCATCCAATAATAGAGCATCAATCTCCCTTTGGTTCACTGGAACAAATGTTCATGAATAACTGAACGTTTGTCCTTTCTAAAGTCCAGTCCAGTGGCCTGCCTGTTGGTAATGCTGCAATGATGGATCGTATTCCATCTCGGTGGTTGGACTGAAGAGACACACTGACCTCTCTCTCTCTCTCTCTCGCTCTCGCTCTCTCTCTCTCTGCACCCTGTCTGTGTCAATCTGTACCCAGTCTGTCAGTCGGTACCCTCGGTCTTACTTCCATGTGAGGAAGGCTGTCAGTTCATCCCTTGCATGCGTTGAGTGAACCCATGCATAGCATGCAAAGACTGTGCACTGAACCAGGGGAAGGGTTCAAACCACCAGGACCACAAGCCTGTGTCTGACTGACCCCTGAACCTTGACCTGGTGACCTTGCTGCCTGACCAATGGGGAGAGACACACCAACCTTGGATGCCGGAGACATGGCGGTCTGCAATAGTACATCCAGGTCCATATGGAGCAGGTTAATAACCCCTGCTGGGGCCAAACACTGCCACACACACACACACACACAGGAAAGAGATAAGCACTGGGATTACTGGGATATGTTACTAGGAAGGTCTTGGAGATGACTGGCGAGGTGTTACCGGTTGTAATGGTTGCAGAGATATGGATAGGCAGGTGAAAAGGTAGGTGGAGGATGGATGAAGAGGGGGATGAGGGTGAGGAGAAAGGGGAGGATGGATGAAGAGGGTGATGGACTGACCAGAGAATGAGAGGAGGTGAGATCGTCAGAAAGGGGTGGCTGGAGTGATGGATGGATGGATGGGGAAAGAAAATAAAGAAAGGCAAGCCGAAAACAAGGGGGAGAGGAGGTTGGAGACCTGACCATCCCTAGGAAAACAAGGGGGAGAGGAGGTTGGAGACCAAACCATCCCTAGGAAAACAAGGGGGAGAGGAGGTTGGAGACCAAACCATCCCTAGGAAAACAAGGGGAGGAGGTTGGAGACCATCCTAGGAAAACAAGGGGCGAGGAGGTTGGAGACCAGCTCCCTAGAAACAAGGGGCGAGGGGGTTGGAGACCATCCCTAGGAAACAAGGGGGGAGAGGGTGGAGACAAACATCCTAGGAACAGGGGGAGGAGTGGAACCATCCCTAGGAAACAGGGGGAGAGGAGGTTGGAGACACCCTAGAACACAGGGGGGAGGGTTGAGACCAACATCCTAGGCTAGAACCTATGAGCGCGTCTGAGTTGACACTGAGGGTATGATGTTAATGGAAGCCTGAGGGGACATTGTGGCGTGATGACATCATCTGACCTGCGGCTGTGACGGAGTGGTTGCCTGTGACGGCGCGGTTGTGTTAGTGTCGGGCACCAGGGCTTCGCCATCGAACGAGATGATGTCCTGTTGCGTGTCTGGGGCTGGAGTCAACGAAGGTCTGGGGCTGAGAGACAGGGCTGGAGTCAACGAAGGTCTGGGGCTGGGGGGCGGGCGTACAGGGGCGGGTCCAGGGGGCGCCGGCCTCGTCTGGAGGGTCCACGGATGTTTATACACACACATGCAACGGTAGTGAGGGAGACACAGCACACAGGTTAGTAAAACACACTAGCACACTAGTAATAGTAGGTTACCTGTTACCTAGGCTGGGATCCAATCCAAGGCGTGTTATGGAGCCGCGCTCTGGACAGCCGACAATGCGCCTTTTCAAGGCAATTTCCCTGACATTCGTGAAGATTGCATTTACGGTAAATGCTACGCATGTTGGCTCAAGCGTAAATTACCTTAAGAAATCAAGTGCAATGTGCTGCTCTATAACGCGCCATGGATTGGATCCCAGCCCTAGTCTGTAAGTGGTGTCTGAGGGTTCCTTCTATGTTAGAAAATCACATTTCTATCAAACCAATGGAGAGAAACTCTCCATTCAACATGCTCTGGGTTAGTTTCATCTATCGCTTTGAGAGTTTTCCTAAAGAGAATGTTAGTGACTGTGTGTGTACGCTCGCAATTGTACCATCCTCTCATTTTTCCACCCTCTTGAATTCAACACCTTAATAATACTCCTTAGGGACAGACCTTAAATAGACCCTAAACTCTAGATTTCTCACACACAAACACACGCTTCTGACTCACGCTGCTGAAAATGACACTCATTCATCAACAAGCAAACACACATATCCCAGTCACTCAAGACAAACACAGAGACAGTCTGACACGTTACACCCCCTGTATGAGGGGACCTTACCTTGGCTGCAGCGTCTGGGGTAACGCTGTGGTTGGCGGGGGCTGCCTCACTGGGAAAAAGAGAGAAAGGGAGAATTACTAACTGACTCCCGTGTCGTACCATGATGAAGATGCCCTGGTTGTGTTCAGCAGAGAGAGAATTACTAACTGACTCCCGTGCCATACCATGATGAAGATGCCCTGGTTGTGTTCAGCAGAGAGAGAATTACTAACTGACTCCCGTGTCATACCTTGATGAAGATGCCCTGGTTGTGTTCAGCAGAGAGAGAATTACTAACTGACTCCCGTGTCATACCATGATGAAGATGCCCTGGTTGTGTTCAGCAGAGAGAGAATTACTAACTGACTCCCGTGTCATCCATGATGAAGAGCCTGGTTGTGTTCAGCAGAGAGAGGAATTACTTTAAATGACTCCCGTGTCATACCATGATGAAGATGCCTGGTTGTGTTCAGCAGAGAGAGAATTACAACTGACTCCCCATGCCATACCATGATGAAGATGCCCTGGTTTTGTTCGCAGAGAGAGAATTACTAATGACTCCCGTGCATACCTTGATGAAGATGCCCTGGGTTGTGTTCAGCAGAGAGAGAATTACTAACTGACTCCGTGTCATACCTTGATGGGAAAATGCCCTGGTTGTGTTTTAGGGAGAGAGAGAATTACTAACTGACTCCCGTGCATACCTGATGAAGATGCCCTGGTTGTGTTCAGCAGAGAGAGAATTACTAACTGACTCCCGTGCCATACCATGATGAAGATGCCCTGGTTGTGTTCAGCAGAGAGAGAATTACTAACTGACTCCCATGCCATACCATGATGAAGATGCCCTGGTTGTGTTCAGCAGAGAGAGAATTACTAACTGACTCCCGTGCCATACCATGATGAAGATGCCCTGGTTGTGTTCAGCAGAGGGAGAACGTTTTACTGTATTTGTTTTTCTAGGAAGGGAGGAGGGGGAGAAAGTAGAAAATAAAGAGGGAAAGTATGAGAAAAGTAGAGGGGGAAGAGGAGGAGAGAGAGAGAGGGACAATGACCTCAGTTGTGTTCGAGCAACGGGCACGCTATTCACTAAGACGATAGTACAACGGGCACGCTATTCACTAAGACGATAGTACAACGTGCACGCTATTCACTAAGACGATAGTACAACGGGCACGCTATTCACTAAGACGATAGTACAACGGGCACGCTATTCACTAAGACGATAGTACAACGTGCACGCTATTCACTAAGACGATAGTACAACGGGCACGCTATTCACTAAGACGATAGTACAACGGGCAAAGATGTAGCAGCTTATCAGTTTCAGTCATCCACAGTGGTGAAGGTCTGACTGTATCTGTTGGCGGCTGCCCCAATTCTTTTTTTTTTGTTGCACACACTGTCCCCCTGTATCGCCATGGAAACACAGAACAGGGTCAACTGGTGTGCATGAGAGAGAACATTTTGAAAGAGTGAAATGTGGAGGTACTACCATTGAACTTGTCCAATAAGAACACAGATGTTGGTTCATTTTGTTACGGTGTGCCCTACTGAACACAACCTAGGTGCATGTGTATAGTCAACGGACTGCACCATCCACCAAGACCTCAAGATGGCAGCAGGGAAGCTGAGATAGGTATATTCAATTGTCCATGTTGGGCCCCATTTTTAGCACGGAGAATGAGCATAAACCAGACCATCCTTTATCATTATCATATAATGAGACCGTGCGTAGTACTCCGCAAGTACACAGCTCAGAGCAAAAACTATTAGGGGACTTTGCTGTTGCTGCGGCAAGCAACACCAGCTCACAACACATGGCTTCCTCAAACTGCTGTCACGCAAAGGACTGAAACACAGGCACACTCAGACAGAACTAGAGGAACACCCATGAATATCCAAGCACACAGCACAACTCCATGCACTACTTAACAGATGCCAGTTCACTTGGACAAACTAAAGATCCGTACAGTGCATTTGGAAAGTATTCAGGCCCGTTGACTTTTTCCACATTTTGTCACGTTACAGCCTTATTGTAAAATTGATTAAATTGTTTTCTTCATCAATCTACACACAATACCCCATAAATAAAAAACAGAAATACCTTATTTACATAAGTATTCAGACCCTTCGCTATGAGACTCGAAATTGAGCTCAAGTGCATCCTGTTTCCATTGATCATCCTTGATGTTTCTACAACTTGATTGTAGTCCACCTGTGGTAAATTCAATTGATTGGACATGATTTGGAAAGGCACACACCTGTCTATATAAAAAGGTCCCACGGTTGACAGTGCATGTCAGAGCAAAAACCAAGCCATGAGGTCGAAGGAATTGTCCGTAGAGTTCCGAGACAGAATTGTATCGAGACACAGATCTGGGGAAGGGTACCAAAACAGTTCTGCAGCATTGAAAGTCCCCAAGAACACAGTGGCCTCCATCATCCTTAAATGGAAGAAGTTTGGAACCACCAAGACTCTTCCTAGAGCTGGCCGCCCGGCCAAATTGAGCAATCGGGAGAAGGGCCTTGGTCAGGGAGGTGACCAAGAGCCCGATGGTCACTGACAGCTCCAGAGTTCCTCTGTGGAAATGGGAAGAACCTTCCAGAAGGACAACCATCTCTGCATCACTCCACCAATCAGGCCTTAATGGTAGTGGCCAGATGGAAGCAACTCCTCAGTAAAAAGGCACATAACAGCCCGTTTGGAGTTTGCCAAAAGGCACCTAAAGGACTCTCAGACCATGAGAAACAAGATTCTCTGGTCTGACGAATAAGATTGAACTCTTTGGCCTGAATGCCAAGCGTCACGTCTGGAGGAAACCTGGCACCATCCCTACGGTGACGCATGGTGGTGGCAGCATCATGCTGTGGGGATGTTTTTCAGTGGCAGGGACTGGGAGACTAGTCAGGATCGAGGGAAAGATGAACGGAGCAAAGTACAGAGAGATCCTTGATGAAAACCTGCTCCAGAGTACTCAGGACCTCAGACTGGGACAAAGGACAACAACCCTAAGCACACAACCAAGACAACACAGGAGTGGCTTCCGGACAAGTCTCTGAATGTCCTTGAGTGGCCCAGTCAGAGCCCGGACTTGAAGCTGATCGAACATCTCTGGAGAGACCTGAAAATAGCTTTCGCTTTGTCATTATGGGGTACTGTGTGTAGATTGAGGGGAAAAAACAATGTAATAATTATAGAATAAGGCTGTAACATAACAAAATGTGGAAAAAGTCAAGGGGTCTGAATACTTTCCGAATGCACTATATATATATATATATATCCCGTGTTGAGCCCCCTGATCCTTTATTGACACTCAGTATCTAACTGCACCATGCAGAGAGACTAGTGCTGAGCAAATAACCGAAATGACCAACTTCAGTTCAATTATTTGAATTCCATTTTGTTCGTTTTTTTTTCTGTGAGTTCAATGCGCACATAGCACTGCAGTTTCTCTAGAGATAAATCAGATCATGCCGAACTGTGAGATGTAGTAGGGAGTTGTAGTTTCCAACAAGCCATTTATAAACCAGATCATGCTGAACTGTGAGATGTAGTAGGGAGTTGTAGTTTCCAACAAGCCATTTATAAACCAGATCATGCTGAACTGTGAGATGTAGTAGGGAGTTGTAGTTTCCAACAAGCCATTTATAAACCAGATCATGCTGAACTGTGAGATGTAGTAGGGAGTTGTAGTTTCCAACAAGCCATTTATTCTCAGTTAGTATCTAACTTCACAATGCATAAAGACACACACAGGCACATAAACTGTCACACTGGTCACTCCGTCAGGTCCATTACCTCTTCTTGGGTCCAGGCTTCCAGTCTTTACCTGCCTTTCTGTAATGGGGTGTGGGGTAATTTACTCTACAGTAGTCTATATTCAGCCAGTCATTTCACTTCCTCAGTAGAATGTGTATGCATTGCATTGGACCTCATTTCTCTAGAATTACCATAAAGTTCTTAAAAAGGTGCACCATACAGCTGTACACATGTTCACAGAGGTATATTTTACAGGTACATACTGTATAACAGTGGGGCAAAGTGGACAGGTACGCAATAGTGAACACTAGCATATGTACAGTACTCCACTGGTATTCATAAAACATTTGTAATATGTCACAAGTCTCACTTACTTGGCCAGCCTCTGCTCATCCAGTTTGGTCATGACATCATTCAGGTCCTGGTTCAGCTGCAAACGGAACGATTGGAGGAAGTCAATCAATCAATCAATCTAGACATGCATTATCAAATCAGTCCCATGTGCTGACGGTAAGTAGCCACAGCTCTCCCTCTCACCTTTCCCATGTCTTTGTGGAACCTCTGCTGATATCCAGCCATACTCTGGAATGTGTTAACATAGAAGCCAACACGACTAGAGAGGGATCGAATAGAGATAGAGGGAGAATGTGTTAACATGGTGGCTGGCAACACTGTGTGTGTGTGTGTGTGTGTAAGAGACAGAGTGATAACAACAGTGGTTGTAAGTGTCTCTTCAGAAAAATAAAAGGGAATGAGATTGTGTCAGCCTGGTAGTGAGAGGGTTGGACAAGTGTCACCTGTTCCACAGCTGTGGAAGCTCATCCTGCAGATCTACGTTGATCTCCTCAAATACTTTCTGAGCTCTCCCCAACTCCTCCTCTGCCTGTACATACACATTAACACATCCACAGAGGTTGAACAATAAATCCATGTTTGTTAGTATATGTTACTCAAAAGAAAGCACATTATCTACAATCAAACTAAAGAATGACATGGAATTCAGACAGAATGTTAGGGCATGGTGGCATAGAACGTAGAATTAGGAATTAGAACTCAGAATGGGTGAATGACAAGTGAGTGACAGCAGAAGGCACAGCGGGGTCAGGGCGGAGCGTGACAGGGGCGAGAGGGTGAGTTGGTTAGACATCAGTCACCTGGTTTCTGGTCAGGTTAGTTTGAGCTATTTGATGAGCAGACAGAATCCCCTGGGCCCAACCTGGGGCAGCCTTCTCCACAAGAGACATCGGCTAGCCATGCAGATGGACGGACAGAGAGAAAGGGAGAGAAAGAGAGAGAGAGAGAAGCAAGACAAATACTTTAAATAGTTTGACAGGCAGGTTAGCATTCAGACAGGCCGGTTAGCATTCAGACAGGCCGGTTAGCATTCAGACAGGCCGGTTAGCATTCAGACAGGCAGGTTAGCATTCAGACAGGCCGGTTAGCATACAGGCAGATTAGCATTCAGACAGGCAGGTTAGCATTCAGACAGGTAGATTAGCATTCAGACAGGCAGGTTAGCGTACAGGTAGATTAGCATTCAGACAGGCAGATTAGCATTCAGACAGGCAGGTTAGCGTACAGGTAGATTAGCATTCAGACAGGCAGATTAGCATACAGACAGGTAGGTTAGCATACAGGCAGATTAGCATTCAGACAGGCAGATTAGCATACAGACAGGTAGGTTAGCATACAGGCAGATTAGCATTCAGACAGGCAGATTAGCATACAGACAGGTAGGTTAGCATACAGGCAGATTAGCATTCAGACAGGCAGGTTAGCATTCAGACAGGCAGGTTAGCATTCAGACAGGCAGATTAGCATTCAGACAGGCAGATTAGCATACAGGCAGGTTAGCATTCAGACAGGCAGGTTAGCATACAGGCAGGTTAGCATTCAGACAGGCAGGTTAGCATTCAGACAGGCAGGTTAGCATTCAGACAGGCAGGTTAGCATTCACAGGCGGATTAGCAAAAACACTTTTGATTGACAGTTTTGAAATAGGGCAAGAGTATTTCCATAATGTGCATTAACTCACACCCAATCAAACACACGAAAAACAGTTTAATTAGACTTTTCTTTTTGCAGTAGGTTGATTGGTTGCTTATTTCAACTGGTATAGCCTAAGCCCACAGGAGAATGTGACATGCATAGCAACATGTGCCTCCCCAAAATTGCAATGCAGAATGTTGCTTGGTGACATCATAATGTGGGTATTTGCGTTAGCTTTGTTAAGGCCTTTACATAGTCATCACTCATATGCCTGAGTTCTAGAGCCGACCTGAACTGAACTGTGCTGGCCTGGATATTTTCTCTTTACATTGTTCTGTTCTTTCCAAGAAGGTTCCAGAAATGATGGTCCTCTGTAGTTGGTAGAGCATGGCGCTTGCAACGCCAGGATAGTGAGTTTGATTCCCGGGACCACCCGTACGTAAAATGTAGGCATGCATGAGTATGTTACTTTGGATAAAAGTGTCTGCTAAATGGCATCATATAATTATATTAAATGATGGCGGATGCATAACCAGGCCTTCCCAGTACAGCTGGCTTGGCTTGGCTCAGTAGTGTGATACAGTAATGTACCCAGGAAACGATGCAGCGGGCAGCCATCTTACCTTGGCGATCTTGGCCTGGTCCTGCTTCTTGCCCTTCTGTAGGGAGCCAAAGTGATGCCTCGCACTGTCGTAGTCGGTCATCTTCCTGTCCCGCTTAGCGATGCGTGCCTGGTCAGACACCAAACAAACACACCCACAGAGTCACTGATGGATAGAAGGCTGCAGCTTCTTGAGAACCAAATCAAATCAATAAATCCATCAAATGTATTTATTGATGCATTCTCTCGCTAACTGGTCAGGGAATTGAGCTGTTTCAGGGCTCTATCCAATCAGGATCGCTGAAGCGTTACAGATTGCGCGCTAGAAATGTAAAGATGATTTCCTATTGAGCAGACATGTGCAGCGTTTACGGTGAATGCAGTCTCCGCTAACGCGGGAACATTGCCTTTACATTTTAATCACGCTGTAACGCTGAACCCTCAGTACCAGGATGTGTAGTCTGTTCTGTTAGAGCCCTCAGTACCAGGATGTGTAGTCTGTTCTGTTAGAGCCCTCAGTACCAGGATGTGTAGTCTGTTCTGTTAGAGCCCTCAGTACCAGGATGTGTAGTCTGTTCTGTTAGAGCCCTCAGTACCAGGATGTGTAGTCTGTTCTGTTAGAGCCCTCAGTACCAGGATGTGTACTCTGTTCTGTTAGAGCCCTCAGTACCAGGATGTGTAGTCTGTTCTGTTAGAGCCCTCAGTACCAGGATGTGTAGTCTGTTCTGTTAGAGCCCTCAGTACCAGGATGTGTAGTCTGTTCTGTTAGAGCCCTCAGTACCAGGATGTGTAGTCTGTTCTGTTTGTTACTGTTGTGTGTGTGAAAAATCTATCAAAATGTTATTATTTATTTATATTGCACTTATTATGGAGCTTCATTTTTCACAAAAGGGCCAAAACACACCCACACTGAGCACCTGACTGCAGTGACACACACCTTAATGTCAGGGAACTGGGCCAGATAGGTATCCATGGCGATCATGGAATTGTCCATAATCTTGTCGTGGTAATCTGACCACAGGATGTCTGTCTCCTGTAATACAGACAGCAGAGTCAAACCACAACAACACACACACACCATACACACACACACACACACACACTAACCCAAATAACAGCTCCACTAACGGTGCAGTTTAATAGCTAGTCCGGAACTACAGTGCTATTTCTTCTAGCTATAGTGTAGGTTACAGCTATTCCCACTAGTCCTCATTCATCACCAGTCTACACAGTCATGAATGAGCCGTCCTTTACCTCCATGCAATAGTCCATCTCCTTCTCTATCATCTCCTTCACAGACAGAAGGATGGAGGGAGGGAAAGAGACATGCAGTGAGAGGAGAGAGAGAGGAGTATGTGTTGTAGGGAGAAGAAGTGAATGTGACAGTGATGAAATAGAGGGAGGAAACTAGAGTCTTGTATTCAAACTATCAATAGAATTGATCTCAAGGTTTCATGTTATTTTCTGCATCTTCAATTATACATTTCATTCAACCTCTGAAGTTTTGTACACCTCTTTCACAGAGGAACAGGTAGTCTTTCATCCTGAATTCACAAAGATCAGACACACACCCACACCAACCGTGCTAGTCTCTCTCACCTCTGCGATGGCGTCCACCTCCTCCTTGCCAAACCACTCTGGCTCGTACATATCCGCCAGACAGTCCTGCAGACGCTTGGACGCATCATGCATGGCTGAGGATCACAGGGACAGACAGACAGGCAGACAGACAGGCAAAAAGGTCAAAAACTGAAATGGAACTGGGCCGGAAGTGGTTTGTGTATTAATGTGTGTGTACACTACAACTATGTCGCTCCCAAAATAAACAAGATAGAAACTGACAGATATTACTGTAATACCTAATAATAAAGATACAGGACAGCTGCACACCACACAGTCGTAGTGTACAAACAGATCAAACACACTCACAGACGGACATGCTTCTTACTTTTAACTGCTGCCAGGTAGGCCCTCAAGTCTTTTTGCAGTTTGGTGCCCTCGGCCTGAAAAATACAACAATGGGTTGGACTGGGATTGTGATCATGGTGCCATTTTCACACTACTGAACCAAACTGAGCCAAGCTGTACCGTGCTGCCCTGGTTACACATCCACCATAGTTACTGGAATCATGCTGGAAAGAATAATGGGAAAATAAAATATCCTAACCAGCCAAGTACGGTTCAGGTCAGTCATGGCTCTGTGTGTGTGTGTCTGTGTGTGTGCGCGCGCATGTGTAGGTTGGGATGGGAGGGAACATTGGGCAACAACAGTGGGTTCACCATCTCAATGAGAGGGGGAGGAGAAAAGGTTGGAAGAGGCAGGACTCTCACCATCTGCTTGTTGAAGTTAGCCACGCCCTCCTCGAACGCTGTGTCCCTGGTCTCATCAGCTTTACCCAGCTTCTGAAGGACCTGACAGAAAGACAAAACATCCCTGGGTGAATACATGAGCTGGGAGAGCACAGGACCTGGGAGAGCACAGTAAATAATAATACACAGTAATACTTTACTTACCGCTGCCAAGTATAATGCTTCCTAATATTATATATCTTGTTATAAGCAAGTATGAGCCTTTACAATGTCTTGTTGTAAGGCTTGTAATACGGTATGTCTCTCTGTGTTTAAAGCACATTTTCAACCGACTCAAAATGGTTGTTGTGTAGTTTAACCGTAGACCGGTTCATCATGAGATGAGACATTTTAAGGGGGTGGTACATGCTTATGGAAAGTTTAACAATGCATCACAATGTGTTACACAAATTAGTTCAGACACACACACATCGCGTTACATGGGTTAATTTGAGATTTTTCCCAGGTGATTTGGTTTGAAAACTCTAAAAACCCAGATCTGAGCAAGCTGAGCTTAATTGATCTGAACAATGTCACACACATGCTTGGGCAACCAAGAGGAGACAGAGGAGAGGGAAAGATTGAGGGACATGAGGGTAGTGAGAAGGAGAACAAGAAACAGAATGAGTGAATGAGTGAATGTCTGACAGAACAGAGGTGAGAGAAAGGGAGAGAGAGAGAAACAGAGACAGAGAAAGACATACAGACAGACAGAGACATACAGACAGACAGTGAGAGAGACAGACATTTCGACCCAACCAAATCATGAGAAAACTAAAATATAATAATTACTGGACACATTGGAAAGAATTAACAAAAAAACAGAGCAAACTAGAATGCTATTTGGCCCTAAACAGAGAGTACAGTTGTGGTCAAAAGTTGAGAATGACACAAGTATTGGTCTTCACAAAGTTCGCTGCTTCAGTGTTATGAGATATTTTTGTCAGATGTTACTATGGTATACTGAAGTATAATTACAAGCATTCCATAAGTGTCAAAGGCTTTTATTGACAATTACATTAAGTTTATGCAAAGAGTCAATATTTGCAGTGTTGACCCTTCTTTTTCAAGACCTCTGCAATCTGCCCTGGCATGCTGTCAATTAACTTCTAGGCCACATCCTGACTGATGGCAGCCCATTCTTGCATAATCAATGCTTGGAGTTTGTCAGAATTTGTGGGGTTTTGTTTGTCCACCCGCCTCTTGAGGATCAACCACAAGTTCTCAATGGAATTAAGGTCTGGGGAGTTTCCTGGCCATGGACCCAAAATGTAGATGTTTTGTTCCCCGAGCCACTAAGTTATCACTTTTGCCTTATGGCAAGGTGCTCCATCATGCTGGAAAAGGCATTGTTCATCACCAAACTGTTCTTAGATGGTTGGGAGAAGTTGCTCTTGGAGGAGGTGTTGGTACCATTCTTTATTCATGGCTGTGTTCTTAGGCAAAATTGTGAGTGATCCCTGTACTTTTTGCAGAATATCAGTCTGTCCCTGATGTTTTTCCTGGAGAAAAGTGGCTTCTTTGCTGCCCTTCTTGACACCAGGCCATCCTCCAAAAGTCTTCGCCTCACTGTGCATGCAGATGCACTCACACCTGCATGCTGCCATTTAGGAGACGGTCCTGGCACTTGCTGGACTTTCTTGGGCGCCTTGATGCCTTCTTCACAACAATTGAACCTCTCTCCTTGAAGTTCTTGATGATCCGATAAATGATTGATTTAGGTGCAATCTTACTATCAGCAATATCCTTGCCTGTGAAGCCCTTTTTGTGCAAAGCAATGATGACGGCACGTGTTTCCTTGCAGGTAACCATGGTTAACAGAGGAAGAACAATGATTTCAAGCACCGCCCTCCTTTTGAAGCTTCCAGTCTGTTATTCTAACTCAATCAGCATGACAGAGTGATCTCCAGCCTTGTCCTCGTCAACACTCTCACCTGTGTTAACGAGAGAATCACTGACATGATGGCAGCTGGTCCTTTTGTGGCAGGGCTGAAATGCAGTGGAAATGTTTTTTGGGGATTAAGTTAATTTTCATGGCAAAGAGGGACTTTGCAATTAATTGCAATTCATCTGATCACTCTTCATGACATTCTGGAGTGTATGCAAATTGCCATCATCAAAACTGAGGCAGCAGACTTTGTGAAAATTAGTATTTGTGTCATTCTCAAAACTTTTGACCACGACTGTACACAGTGGCATAATACCTGACCACTGTGACTGACCCACATTTAAGGAAAGCTTTGACTATGTACAGACTCAGTGAGCATAGCCTTGCTATTGAGAAAGGCCGCCGTAGGCAGACCTGGCTCTCAAGGGAAGACAGGCTATGTGCACACCGCCAACAAAATGAGGTGGAAACTGAGCTGCACTTCCTAACCTCCTGTCAAATGTATGACCTTATTAGAGACACATATTTCCCTCAGATTACACAGACCCACAAAGAATTAGAAAACAAACACAATTTTGATAAACTCCCATATCTATTGGGTGAAATACCACAGTGTGCCATCACAGAAGCAAGATTTGTGACCTGTTGCCACAAGAAAAAGGCAACCAGTGAAGAACAAACCATTGTAAATACAACCCATATTTATGTTGATTTATTTTCCCTTTTGTACATCATTATAAGACTGTATATAGACATAATGACATTTAAACATCTTTATTCTTTTGAAGTGTGTAATGTTTACTGTACATTTTTTTATTGTTTATTTCACTTTTGTTTATTATCTATTTCACTTGCTTTGGCAATAAAGCCCTTAAATTGAAATACCGAGTGAGAGAAAGAGAGAGAGAGACCCTGGTCTCAATGGCGACGCCCTGCTTAAAAATGTATAATAAAACATCTATTATCAGTCTACTGACCTACAAACATTAATGATATCTTTCCAATTGATTTGGAAGAACGATATATAACTGGTAATACACATGGCTATTTTTATACAGGCTGTCAAAGCCATGTGTCTCCGCTGTCTCTGGCAGAGACCAGCTGACAAGCACACCAAAGGCTCTGTGTGTCCATCTCCTAGTTCAACATGGGGAACTTTGAAGTGTTAACCTGTTCAACTCTGACTTCTAAACGACACAAAATATTGTATACTACCCTCATAAAGCACATTTAGGTTTCAAAACAGGGCTTGTGCAACGTAATTGTTCGTCTCACAGGAAAACATTTTTGGGGAGGGGGTTACTGTAGTCTAGTTCACATTGGCAGTTTGAAGTTACTCAAATCCTATTTTTTTGCATATCTGATTTGAATCTTAGTTTTCCTGCAGTCTGAACAGCCAAAACCCACATGGAATCGGATATTTCAAGCCACATTTCAAACCACTTTTTAAACCAACTTCGTATGTGGTTTGAATTCAGCTACAAATCAGATTTCTGGCCATGCGTGTTGTGTCTTGAACGGTGAAAATCAGATTTATTTGCCCTCAAGTGGTTTTTAGATTTATTTGGCATATCTTGTTGCTTGCTCGCTACTCTGTTGACAGTTTGACAAGAACATGACGTGGTAGCTAACTAGCAGACAAATTAGTGAATGTGCTAGAAAGCTAAACAGCTAGCTAGTTGACTGCTGTGGCTAGTCAAAAAGGACTCGTTTTGAAAGTTGGTTCATCGTATCCTTTGAGGCTTTAAAAGGGTTCTTAGACTATGACTTTGAACATTCACAGCAACTGGGAAACGTCCATGGCAGGCATTGTTGTCACCTTAGTTTGCTACATAACTTCTGGGTGATAGGAAGCACGAGCACCACCACCAAATCAGCCTACACCACACCCAATCGTTACTATGACAACTAGCATAGCCATGTCAGCAAATGACTGCTGTCTGAACACACACAAATCTGATTTGGTCACTTGCCGTTTGGACAGTCAGTATTCCAAAACGGATTTGAAAAACTGATTTCAGTGTCTTCTGTTCAGGGTCAGTGTCCCAAATCCAGATTGAGCCTAGTCCTGGACTAAAAAGCATTCAAGGGAAAATCTCCATTGAAAGTGTTTTTAAGCCCAGGAGTCTGGGGAAACTGAAAACGTAAGTTTCACTTCTGTATTCTTTAACATTATAACCTCTGACTCATTAAAACAATAGAAAACAAAAAACAGCAGATGTCAGCTTTTAGAAGAGCTTTCATCATTAATAGAAGGAAGAGGGGGGAAGAGGAGAAGAATAGGAAAATAAGCCTTACATTGAAGCGAAAAGGAGGGAGCGATAGGGCAATGAAGAGCTTAGGAGGGAGCGATAAGGCAATGAAGAGCTTAGGAGGGAGCGATAAGGCAATGAAGAGCTTAGGAGGGAGCGATAGGGCAATGAAGAGCTTAGGAGGGAGCGATAAGGCAATGAAGAGCTTAGGAGGGAGCGATAAGGCAATGAAGAGCTTAGGAGGGAGCGATAGGGCAATGAAGAGCTTAGGAGGGAGCGATAGGGCAATGAAGAGCTTAGGAGGGAGCGATAGGGCAATGAAGAGCTTAGGAGGGAGCGATAGGGCAATGAAGAGCTTAGGAGGGAGCGATAGGGCAATGAAGAGCTTAGGAGGGAGCGATAAGGCAATGAAGAGCTTAGGAGGGAGCGATAGGGCAATGAAGAGCTTAGGAGGGAGCGATAAGGCAATGAAGAGCTTAGGAGGGAGCGATAGGGCAATGAAGAGCTTATGAGGGAGCGATAGGGCAATGAAGAGCTTATGAGGGAGCGATAGGGCAATGAAGGGCTTATGAGGGAGCGATAGGGCAATGAAGAGCTTATGAGGGAGCGATAGGGCAATGAAGGGCTTATGACTAGGGGAGATGGATGTACAACTGTAGAGGTTAGAGGGCAGCGAAAGGAAATAGAGGAAAAGATGCAAGGTAAAGGAAGAGAGAGAGAGAGAAGGTCCCCTCATCCAGCTGGACCTGGGGCTGAGCTCACAAACCTGTTCTACTAACACACTGAATACAGCCTCAGGACCAGAACATCCAATCAATCAGAAGAAACCAAATTACAACAGTCAAAACAAAACTACATTACCTATTGGGAAACACAAGCACAAAGCAAAATGCAGTGCTATATGGGCCTAAATCGACAGTACACCATGGCTAACTATTTGACCATGGTTACTGATCAAAACCTTGACAAAGAACAGGCTCAGTGAGCACAGCCTTGCCACTAAGGAGGGTAGACAGGGAAACCTGGCTCCCTGTAGAGCAGTGGTCACCAACCATTCCTAGTCAATCACCAAACATTTCTGTAAAAAACCCAACGATAAAGCCTTGCGTCCTATTTTTTGTATTAGTTTCGTGCTGTTGACGGTAGGTGCACTTCATTCAGCAGCCCTAGCGCCTGGAAGGCAAAGTGTTCCCATTTTTAACCATTTCATGTGTCTGAAGGTAGAACTCCGCCTACCCGGCAGGCCCAGAGAGCAAATCAAGTGCACCTATAGGCCTACCGCTGGCTGGCCAATCAGATAGCTCAGATCATTGTGTCTGCACAGTTTCCTTGTGCCTAGACTGAAAAAAAGAAGCCTTGAATGCTCAAAGTTGATAATGTGAGATTTCAAAACTTTTAAAACCATGACTAGCGAGAGACTCAACGAATACAGCAAAGAGCTGCTGTTTTTATGAGTAAATTCATGTTTAAGTTGTTATTCAGGACTGTCAAGACTTTGTTCAACATGTTTATAAGCCATAAAATGCGCGTTTCAATAAGCTTGCATTGTCTTTTTTAATAATCAAGGAATATTTCACTTTCTCTGGCCGTAGGAGTAATATGAATTGGTGCATGAGGCATTGTGTTTCCACCACTTCCGAATTCGCCAGACGAAGGTGAGCGGTGCGAACCCTGCTAGAGGAGCGATAGAAAAAGTTAAGCTCTGCTCTACTTTATGCAAATTGCACATGGCCACCGCTGCCGTTGACCAATCAGGTGAGGAGCAGATGTTTGCTTGAAAGTCTTCCCTTCATGAAACATAGTTCCGCCTGTCATTATTTCCGGGCAAGCACAACCAAAATAAGATGGAGGAAAGCCAATCATCGCTGATAACCTAAGAGCCAATTTATTATTGATCCGAAAATGTGGTCGGAGGCGAGGCGCTGTATGTATGGTGTGACGCAATTGCGGTGCCTCCGGAAGGCACGCAGAGGCCAAATTGAGCTCGGTACCGCATCGGCGTGCGCCTCTCAAATTTTGTAACAACGCGGAGGACACCATATAGCTCCGCATTGACATGATTGGTTGACGGTAGGTGAGGGTGGGAGGTCCTATATAAACACAAACTGACTTCCTTGACAACTTCTCTGCACTGCTCGGCGAAACGCAAGAAGTATAAATGCCCAGACTTCTGCAGAGGCCGTATCACCGTAAATGCTGCACGGCCAATGCAGACGTTGGATTGACCACGCAGCGCCTTTAAGAATGAATTTCCTATGTAATATGCTACCAATTGGATTATGGCATCTTAACATTATGAGTATAGTGTAGTATAGTATAGTATAGTATAGTTTATGGCGCTTTCATTATACTGGTGTCATGGCATTGATGATTATAGCTCACTTCCTGTAAAATACATAGGCCTACATAGACACGAATGGGTACTTTGGGTAAAGGAAATTGTGGCTTTGACTTCCAAACATTGTTGTGCAAATCTCTCTTTACCCACCATCAACATCTCTGCAATCCTCCTCCATGCCATTGACCTTCTGATTTTGTCGCTGTATTCTAAAATCATTCTCAGAAAATAAACGAGGTAGAATTACAACGCTCCCCACGCCACACTATTTTCCTTTTTGACTTTTTTAATGAGCCTACAAATTGTCAGCGCCTTATTTTCATGTACAGTACCTAGAATACAAGGGTTGGAATTGAACTAAACAATTTCATGTCAGAAAAATAATGTAGAAATTCTGGTTTATGGTTAGCCTCATATACATGATCTACTGGTATCATTTTAAAATTGAGAACATATAGCTAGCTCATCAATATGTAAATGATGTGTTAGTTTAGCTATTCTCTGCTTCAGATGTATAATGACAAGGGGCACGGTGATTGCACATGCTCATTAGGCTAGTAATGACATCATTCTATAGGCTTCTGGCTGCATTGGTGATGCATGTCATTATGATAAGCTGCTAAATGGGTTGACATGGCTGATATCCTGAGACAGAGTGACAATCAAATAAAACCGATAGGAGAGCACACAACTGAACAACATTTTACATATTTAGTCATTTAGCAGACTCTCTTATCCAGAGCAACTTACAGTTAGTGAGTGCATACATTTTTCATACTGGCCCCCCGTGAGAATCGAACCCAGAACCCTGGCGTTGCAAGCGCCATGCTCTACCAACTGAGCTACAGGAGGCACTAACAAAAAGGTAATGTTAATTTGAGAAAGCAACACAGAAACACAGACAAATTAGAGACATATCCCCTTCACTCCTTTTTATTGCAGAATTGTGATCTGTGATGAATAAACATTGACACTAGTTAATCTTGAATCCGGTGTGTTAGTGCTGGGCTGGAACAGAATCCTGCACACCCAGCATTCCTCCAGCAGAAGGATTGGCCTGCTACAGTTGTAATAAGTTTGTAGCCTACATCGTGTGTGACCTTTAACTGTAGTGTCGTATACAACATTTGCTAACATAAGTCCACATACAACCCATGGTACATGGTGTCAGCAGTCTCTTCATTCACTGGGACCTCTTCATCTGCAGAGGCTTTCGCAGCTCTTCATATCTGAGGACAGATATCGCAAAGAAACAGGCTTCACTTTATTACAATTAGACAGCCCTGACTAATATCTCTGTCTATCTTCATAGTTTTCCTCTCTAGGGTCTAAAACTGCAGAATATTTTCATATTTGCCCACAACAACCTGCCCTGTCTAACTAGTATACTCCCTTTTCTGACAAGCAGCTCATTAGCCTACACACAGTGGCCTGCTGTAGTTTACTTACTTCCTTTAATAAGTTCACGCCTACGCCCACGAAGCGGCCAATCTTTTGGCGCAAAGAGTTGTCAAGCGGAGGCAGCGCTTCTGGTCGAAACGTACCATAATGCAACATAAGTTTCGCCATCAGCTGGAAGACTGTGTCCCCTTTTCTCAGCGGAGGGAGGGAGAGAGGAGGGACGGTGAGTCAGGTGAGAGGCAGCCTCACCGCTGCTCCCTCCCTCCCCTCAGACTGACCAGATGCAGGCCATCACATCAGTCCAGTCAAATAAAAAGCTAATTATTACGCTCACTCAGCTGTGACTCACAAGTAATACAACAAATGACCTATTACCAGTGTGCTCAAATACCTACATTTTTAAAATATAATTTCTAAATGGTGTGAGAATAACAACATTGGCAGGGCAATTCAAGCGTAGCCAATATGCAGTGATAATGTATTGGGCCTATAGCCTCCTGCACAAACCTCATTGCTACAGAACTGTTTTTAATTGGTTAATGTTGCATAGGCTTGTGTTTTTTAAGTCATGTTTTTCTTTTCTTTTTGAGTGGGACATCTTGGCTTGCATTTTGACTCAGAAAGTGATCTTGACTCAGAAAAGGTTGGTGACCACTGCTGTCCAGGAAAGGCTGTGCAACCACTGCACCACAGCAGAACCCGAGACAAAGCTGCAATATAAAACAATTAGAGTTACACTTCCCTAAATTTGAAACTCTTATTCAAGGTTTCAAAGACCTCTCTGATGAGAATAGGCTACCCGTCCTGTTTTAATTATGTTAATATTGTAAATGAATCACTTAAGTTCCAAAGTATGCTTTGGCAACATGTACATTGTTACATCATGCCAATAAAGCAATTTGAATTGAATTGAGAGAGAGAGAGAGACACAGCTGATAATATAACACTTGAAATGTCTTTATCTTTTTGAAACCTTTTTGAGTGCAGTATTTACTGTTCAATTCTAATAGTTTTTGTTGATGTTTTGCATTCTTACTTTTGTTTACCTGCTTTGGCAAGATAAACATGTTTCCCATGAGAATAAACCCCTTTGAATTTGAAAGAGAGAGAGAGACAGAGAGAAACACAGAGAGAGAGAGAAAGAGAGAGCGAGAGAGAGAGAGAGAGAGGAGTGACATTGTTGTGGACCTGAGAGAGCTTCAGAGCGAGCTCTTTGGCTCGTCATTGTGTCAACAGAAGATGTTGCCAAGGTCACCAGCTAATCTGGTCAGTTGACTCCTCCCACCACACGGCTATAACTAACCCCGGCCACCTGGCTGCCTAATCCTAGCCCAGGACTGGCCCACACGGGACCAGGGGACTTCCCTTCACCTACACCACTGGGATGATCACCACTTCCTGGACATCACAGTTATGGACCAGGTTCCATTTCACTCTCTAGCCTCTTGCAGTAGAGCCTGGTTGTGTCCAGTAGGCACAAAACAGGAAAAATTAAAAACGTTTTGAAACATCAAGGTACTATCTGAACTTGTCCAATAGGAAACACTTGTTGCGTTTTTGCTACAGTGTGCCCTACTGAACACTACCCCTACCCTGACACTTTGGCTTTATCACTGAAGAAGACTGGGACAGTGTCGACAGATCTGAAAAGACTGGGTAGGTATAATCAATCACTGTGTGTCAATGCCGTTGCCTGGTTCTCCAAAAGGCTATGTTGTAGCCTCCGCCATTTTGATTTAGCCTGTCCAATCCTCTCAGATCTGTGAACAACAGAGGAGTAGGGGGCAACAACGCAGGTGCCAGAAAATGAAAAGGACCCAGGCTAAGGCCAGCAACAGTGTCACTTCCTGATGGCACAGGGCTTTCCTTTAGTCTAGGACACCATAAGCAACAGTGCCACTTCCTGCACCACAGAATGAATGACAGTGGTACTTCTTACAGTGAGAAACAGCCTTGTGGGCTGGTTTCCTGTGGTGTCTACTGTAGTGGTACAGACAGACGTCTTATCTTCTGCGACTGAGATTAGCCTGAACCAATACCATCAACACAACCAGATAACTACCAAATGGTTTGTTTGACCTCAGGGATTCTGTGATACCTTTATACAGCCCAGATACAGCATCATCATCCCCCATCATTAGCACATGAAAACTACTGTAAAGTTGTCCCCTTGGCCCACTGCTATGCTCTCTAACACCATGCCTCTGAGGTCAGAAGTTACAGCCTTCTGGTGGAATGTCTAATGGGTGGGTGCGGCGGGTGGGGGGGCAGGAAGGGGCACTCAGAAACTCTATACATGACCCACACAATAAGGAGGACTTGAGTCTTAAAGGGGTAGTTCACTTTTCTATTTTTTTGCCTGCACCGCTGATACAATCAATTTCCACTAGAACTGCTGCATTCTCCAAATGCTAAAAACATGCAAAACATGTTTTTATAGTTAGGGTGTCTAGGTATGTTGAAAATAATGTAAAAGAAAAAAAGAAGTGAACAATCCCTTTAAAGCAAGGCAAGGCCAGCAGCAGTCTGAGAAAGGGAGGGAGGAGAGGAGAAGAAGAAGAAGTCAGGGGGAGGGAGGAGAGAGGAGAGAGGAGAGTAGGAAGCGGGGGGGTGTACAGTAGTAGACTGCCAAGGACTTGGAAGAACTCCGGCGGTGATTAAACACCCCAGGCATGTGGCCTTACTGTAAGCTGTACAGATCATGAGTCCCCGGGAGTACATTTCAGGAGTACATTTTGTCACAGACTCTCAGCTCGTAGCTGTCGTGAGTTCGGGTGTCATTCAACATTGTGAGCGAGTCACTACTTCTGTCGTCAGAAGTTACATACATTAAGAGGATGGGGAAGTCCCGAGGGCTATTCTTATCCCTTCTAGACTGTCTGCAGCACCTGCTGTGGCAAAGTTGAAACTAAAAGGTCCTAAAGCAATGGTATTACTATTTCCAGTGATATTCTCCCTCCCGACAACACCTCAAGTACTGACCAGCACATTCTTCTTGCCACGTTTCAACCAAGCACCCTGAGGTGATGTTCTGACTAACAGAAAATCAACAAGAAAGTCATTTATCCTTGCTTTGGACTGATTTGACCAAGCCTGAATCAGGTTATGAACCAAGCACTCCAAGAGTCATCCAAAGTCACTTGTCTGCACGCCGTTCCATAATACTTAAGGTTGAACTCTATAGCCTCTATATCTGTCCGTGTGGTATTCACAACAGGAGTTGTTGACAGGCCAAACTGTATAGAATGTATTACTGTACCTGTCCTGAATCAATCAGTTCACTTCACGTCACTGACCGAAGGTTGACCTTTTAGTCCCTAGGTCAGTGTGTAACAGCCCCCCCCCCACCACACACAGGCTCCATTAGGCCCCTCTCTGGGTCTTAAGAGAGATTTACCAGGAGCCAAACAGGTTTACTGTGTGTGAGAGAGAGAGAGAGAGTATGTGACTGTGTGTGATATCTTTTTCTGTGTGTTCCGTTACTTATCCCCCCCCCCCCCCCCAGCTCTAATAAATCACACTCCTTACCCAGTAGAGAGGAATCCATGGAGAGGGAATCTCCACTCCAGTGCCAGACACACACACACACACACGGGCTCCATTAGGCCCCTCTCTGGGTCTTAACAGAGAGATTTAGCAGGAGCCAAACAGGTTTACTGTGTGTGTGTGTGTGTGCTGCAGAAGTGTATCGTGTGTGTAAAGATGTGTTCCGTTCTGTCTGCTCTACTAGGGGTTGACAGAGGCCTGAGCCATGCCACCTGCTGCCGCTGACCGGTGTTCCAATTTCAACCCCCAAAATACCCCCTCAGGCCTGACTGGGATGCTAGTGCCAACCACCACCCACCCACACTCCCCCAAAAAAACTCACACACACACACACACACACACACACGAGGGTATTAGACAGAAGATGGAGGCCTTGTGGGCTATTGCTATTCATAGATACCCCCCCAGTCCAGCAGAGAGGTATTCTGGGCATAGACAGGTGTGCAGGCGGAGCTGGGGTGGAAGGAGGGAGGGGGGCAGGCTTTGAGCCTCAGGGACAGGAGGGTGGGGTCTGGTCTCTGGAGGTCTGGGAGGTTTTGTCACCACGTGAATAGCATAGGGTCATAACTGGGGTGGCAGAGGTGCAGAGGTCAGTGTATTCGAGGTGCGGGGGGGGGTTGGACTTCTGAACGAGACAGGGGCGGCTGTCAGGTTTCAAAAGAGCACCACAACCACTAGCACACCCCCATGACCAATCAGACGCATCCGGATTCCCCAGGATAAATTCTCCCATCATGCTTTACTGCATGGTTCATCATTGGGCTGCTCATTCTGTCTGCCCTCAGAGGGCACAGGCTGGCATGACATCACTATGACAACCACGATGGGCACCCAGTGACAGCGTCCTCTAGATTCCTCCGCTCCGTCTACTGGTGAAACTCTAGGTCAGTCACTAGGGAGGGGTTAGCCAATAGCTAGCCAGTCTAACAAGAGACAAAACTACAAAGTGGAATCTAAATGGGACCACCACCCACCAGCCTCCAGCCATGCAGACAGAGTTACTGGTCAGAGAAGACAGCTGGTGGCAGGGTGAGGGGGTGAAGGGGGTGAGGTCGCAAGATGAAGAGAGAAGGAGGGTGAGTTAGGGGCCAGCAGAAACTCTCCTCCACCTGGCTTGGGGTCTATAGGGAAGAGGAGACACTGACCTTCCCGTCTCAAAGCAATCCGACTGTTGATGGGTGGTATATCACTCTGTTGCATATCACTCAGGAAATGTGTCTGTGATGAAGCTTCCAGATTCACAAGGAAGGGTGACTATAGTTACAGCATAGTTAGAACTGCAGCATTCTGTCATAACCAGTGAGAGCTGTACAGCTGTGTTGGAGTTAATGCAGGGTGAGGGACATTTCTGGCTTTCTCACTCCAATAGCCGAGTGATGGATGAGATTGAAAGTATGTTAACACAGGAATAGGGGCTATGTTGTTGATGAAGGTGAGTGAGACGGTGATGAGGATGGTGACAGAAACAGAAGCGGAGGAATGTTTTTCAGATGAGGGTGACAAGGAAGCTACTCAAATGTTGCTTCCCCTCTTGAGAAGCATCAACTCAGACCGAGCTCATTCCAGGAGAACTCAATCCCTATAATAAAACTCCTTGAACTTTTTTGTTTACGGTTCAAGTTATTGATTTCACTCAGGCATTAATTTAATCTCCTGAAATAGCTCTACTGCTCACTTGGGGATGACGGTTAATGCCAGAAGACTCCAGGTCAAAGGTCAAACACACACACACATACGTCTGTATACACACTCAGACGGACAAACACACACGCACACTGAAGAAAGGCTAAGTGTGACTTGGCAGTCTTTTTCCAGATAATTCTGTGGCTATCGCTCCCCCCTCTCCCATGTCCCACCTCCTCATCCTAGGGGCCAAGCATATATCCATAGGCTGTCCCTCCAAGCCAAATAGACAGGAGTGGGTGTACCATTCCCTATAATGAAGACATGACAAGAAGTGACCATGTGGCTTTTGTAGACAAGCCTGTACTACATCGGAAACCGAGGTGTCCCACTGTGGTAAACTAGAGCTGAAGAGAAGACGAGGAGGCTGGGTCTGTCTCCGTGGTTTATTTTCCCCTTGCAGTTGACTGAGCTTCCTGTTGTATGCCTGAGTCTGGTGTTGTTATGGTCGTTAATGCCCTAGGGCTTAGGCAAAGAGTCAATCGACTAGACAACATTTCCTGCCTGCTTCACTTGGGAGAAATTAGGCCTTAGAAAGCAGAAAAGGTCTCGTTGAAATTTTATTCTGACACTATCATATAATTACTCATATAACTAATAATCGTGCTCACAATTTCAAAGTTCACTTAGTGAGGACATTTCCAGGATTAGACAAGTAAAAGTTTACAAACAAGAGTGGGCTCAAATAAAACAGCAATTGTAGCAGTAGCCTACACCTTGCTGCTAGCGCAAGATAGCTAGTCAACATTGTAACATCCTACTGTAACAGTGTACAATGTAACAAAGTAATTATTTGGACAGAACAAAGACAGCCGATTAGAACAAGCATGTGTGGTTGCAATTTAATTTGTCAGCGCCTTCGGCTCTTCCTGCAATAACCCAACCCCCTGTTGCCTGTCAAAACTAACGGGTTGGATTCACAAATGAGACCGAGAACGCAAATAGAAATAGCGGAGCGGGCTTGACATTTAGATGGAAAGCTGGGTGTATAACTGGACAGCCACAGTACCCAGTTGAATGCACTCTGTGCGGTTTCAATGGAAAAACCCGTAGTGTAAAAGTGGGTAACAGTTCAGTCTACCTGCTTACCTTTTCTTGCGCTCTGCTAAGTCTTTTCTGCATGTTGGTGGCCAGTTTCCCAGTGTTGATCCCTTTCCCCGTTTTTCCCTGCTCCTCAGCCATTTTACCGTTCTTTACTGCTCCGAATCCCCAATAAACAGATATGCGATGTAAACTGGTGTGGGGAAAGTAAGGGACAGAACTTGTCGAACAGGAGGGAGGGTATGGGCGAACTGCGAGGGACTCCCCAGGATTCGGCGCTGAGTAGAAACCCTCTTGAGAACGGTGTGGATAGCGCGTATTTGTAATCCGGATGACTGCTTCTTAAAGGTGCAACACGTAATCTAATCAACTCAGGTAGTTGAAAAACATAGACCCACGTGTAAAAACAAAGAAAAAAGTCTAACTTTTTCGCAATTGACGCTCCAAGAAGCGAGTTGAGCAGCAAAGATCCGAAAATCGCACCTCTTGCTCGTCCGTCAATTGATGAGCCTTTGGCCCGTTATGGAGCGATTAAGTTTCCCCTCTGCTCGTCCATCCTCTTAAAGGTACAGTTAACACTGTTATTATTAGCCGACTTGCCAAATGTTATGGCTGCAACTGGTGTGTGGGAGTTGCTGCTGCGAATAGACTTCTCCTTTATAATTTAATTGAATCATATGAAGTATTTTTTAACAGTCTACCATCTATGACTTAAAACAGTTATATAATCTGAGAGAAAGTAGGCAATATGTAGGCTACATTTTGTTACATGTCATTGTGGCCACAAAATGTCATCCCTATCATAAATGTGTATTCTGCATCTTGGTTTGAATGGGATCACCAATGCAGTGTAGTTAAATGGAGATCATAGAAGCTTAGTATCACGTGGAATTCTCAATCACTCTCGTGCAGTATCATTGTCTGGCAGTAGATGGCAGTAAGAGACAGCTGTGCCAAGACTTAAGAAACAACAACGTTAAAGGCTTTATGACGCCTTCATAGAACTTTTATGGCTTCAGCCTTTAAAGTTGTTGTTTGGGTCCATATCTACAGCAAAGATAGTTACAAAGTTGGGATTTAAAATAGACAACAAAACCAGGAGCATTTCCATAATATTTAATTTCAAAAAATAAATCTTTAAATATCTCATTATACATCATATTAAAATCATAAACATTTTAGACATCTCTTTAATAAAATACAGTAAATGTTGCCTTAAAATATCATACCTCTGGATATGTTCTATTCATGGAGCCTATACTTTTGTTCAGTTGCCAAGTTGCGACATCATAGTCGTGTTATGACATCATAGTCGTGTTACGACATCTTACTATGAAGCAATCAACAAAGATCACAAAAGAAAATGCTTTGGATTTTTTTCATAATGGTAGCTTGATTTCAATGAGACACCTCCCAATGTTAAATAAAACAAACTCTCTCCCCTTTAGGAACTATGATCTCACCCACAGACACGACAAGGTCCACCTGTCCCATCTGTGTGAAGAGGACACATCCATTTGTATTTTTTCCGCGGGGGTCACAATGGTTTGTATACTATGGCATGAGAGAGCACATATTGTCTGTCTGTCCAGATTCATTCATGGCTCAATCTCCACTCTCCAATGAAATAGGCGTGGTCAGTCATCAAGCCCCACCCTTTTATTGAGAGTCCGCCCTCTGCATCAGTGTGCTAGACTCGAGAACAAGGTAAGCCCCACCCTTTGATAGTCAGGTCCAATGGGGCATCAGTCCAGTAGGTCAACTGGTCTGTATATCTCCCAACCAAGCCGATTACATTACTTCCTCATTTCCTCTCCAGTCTCCTCCCCCTCTAGAGTCTCACCTCCCTGGGTCAGCCAGTCCCCAGGGATGGAAATGTCCGGAGTCCAGCAGCAGACTGCCTATCCAGTACAGCAACTGGGAGTACCAGTGGACCCCGGTGTCTCCAAAATGGCCGCCAGCGGAGCCGGTCCAACGGTGCAGCAGGCGGAGTGGGGCGAAGGCCCAGTGGGCGAGGTCATGCCCGTCCACCACCGCGTAGCACGACGTCACCACGCCGTTCACCGACAGTGTCCCATGGCGGGTGAGGGGCGCAAACACGCCCTTGTCCTCCTGCACACTCACCCGGGAGATGCGCGAGAGACGCCCCACGCCTTTTCTCCCCTCCTCCCCAGCCGCTGTGGTTAGCACACACTGTCCCGGCCGCGCGTCGCTGGCATATATCGTCCTCATACTACCAGGAGTTGGCTCTGCCCCTTCAGAGCAGTTTCCCTCGGACACGAACAGCAGGTGGGCAGCGGTGAGTGACAGGCCAACCCCGCCTTCGGTCCCAATGGTGTAGAATTCCTTCCGGGTTGCGGGGTCGCGGTCCAGAAAGGTGAGGACCTCGCTGTAAACGAGCTCTCCGCTGCCATCGCTCCCTGAAGAGGCGAGGACTCGCTCACCCGGCTGCAGGTCCTGGATCAACCTTTGACCCCCATCCTCTAGGGTCAACCACGCCCCTCCCGGAAAACACCCCCCTGATTTAGCGGCAACGGAGTGCTCTGACAGAGAGAGAGAGAGAGAGCATGGTTGTGAAACAATGCATTCTGTGTGGTGGACAGGTACACACATAGCAAATCTATTCCGCCCTTTAACTAAATATTAGCATCTTTATTTCCGCCTACTCCACAGAAAAGAACAAAAGCTGGCTGAAAGATTAAAGCTGCTGTTTGAATTTGTGTGTGTGTGTGTGTGTGTGTGTACGTGCATGCCCCTGCGGCTGTGTGCTTCCGTCCCTCAGTGTGTGTGTATGTCAGTGTGTGTACATTTGTGTTTTAAGGTGCTGAACTTGATGTGGTACATTGGGACTGTCTCAAGTCTGTCTACACAAATATTTGGGCAAGGTAGGACCAAGGCCAGGTCCAGCCAAGTGATCGGAGAAACAGGAAGTGTGAAAGAGAATGTTCAGGTTAATCATCTGTGGACCAAGACTCCGCCCACTGCACCAACATAACCTCAAACTCCACATCATCTCCCAATTATCTCCAATGTATGGTGTAACATGCCATGTACTTGGTTGCTCAGGGGTGAAGTTTTCCCTAGACACAGATCTAGGATCAGCTTCCGTTCCCCCAATCCTAAACTTAACCATTTGTGGGGAAAATACAAAACTGACCCAAGATCAGCGCTAGGGGCAATTTCACCCTACATTTTCTTGGTCAATCTTTCTTCTTCTTCTTGTTTTGTCACACTGAGCCATCTTTCAACATTCACCTTTCCAGTCCTGAATTTAGTAGGGGTCTGGTTGGGTAGTGCCCCCTTGTGGGCTCTTTCTATTGGTGTCAGTTTTTGGGTCCCCCACTCAGTGAGTGTTACAATGGAGTTTTAGGGAAGCCTTGATATTATGATGTCACTTGTAGCAGCAGATTAGACTTCCTGGTCTACGAAGAGATGTCTTTCTTGAGTGGTTTCTCTTTTTCACAGTTTGCAGTTTCAGTAAAAATAAAAAATAAAAAGATGGTGCCCGGTGCCGTCTTCCGATCAAGTCAAGGACTGGTGACTCGCAACCCGATCTGGGTAAGAAGGAAAGAGAAGGAACAGAGGGAAAATAAATGAAGAGAGGACAGAGGGAAAACAAATGGAGAGGACAGAGGGAAAAGAGCATTTCAGGCACCACATAGTACAAGGGAAGAGAGATTTTATTATTTTTTACCTTCGTTTATTTAGTAAATATTTTCTTAACTCTTTCTTGAACTGCATTGTTGGTTAAGGGCTTGTAACTAAGCAGTTCACGGTACCCATTGTATTCGGCGCATGTGAAAAATAAAAATGTGATTTGATTTGATCTGTCTGCTCTGTTGTGTTCTATTCTAGTTATTCTGTTCTGTGTTCTATACCGTTCCCCTAACAACCAAATCAGTCCTGAACAAGGGTCATCGCTTAGCTACACTACTAACGTCTGTGGCTTTATCAATGAGGCTACATCAATGAGGCTACATCAATGAGGCTACATCAATGGGAGGAAAAAAAAGCAGAAGAGAGACACAAAGTAAACTGAAGCAATGCTGCGCACCAACACATACTGCCTCAGCATAGCATGCCACTAACATAAGGGAGTCATTTCTAGCAAAAGGGGGTTTGTGAGTGAGTGAGTGAGTGGGTGAGTGACCACATAAAGTTGGAGTGAGTAAGTGTGAAGTAAGGGACCACGTAAAGTTGCAGTAGCTACCTCTCCCTTAATGGTGAGTCACTCTACTGATCCAAATGTAAGCTTTAAGCAGGACGGCTCATAGACGTGTCAAGAGACAGTTGCGGTAAAGGGGTTAGGAAAGAAGCTGGGAAGTCAGTCACCCAAAGCGGCTGTATGTCCCTCTAGCTGTGACAAAAAAAGCAGGCATCCATTTTGATTTGATCCATAGTGACGAGGTGGCCACAGTTGAAGGACGTCTTCAAGTGGTTCAGTGTTAGGTTTTCCAAGTAAGGAAGATAGAGGACTGTTGCTGTCCCTCCTCTGCTAAGTGTGTGTCCAGTGTGTGTCCAGTTAAGGTGAAGGCAGTCAAAAACCCTCTCAAATCATTCACTGTGTATCAAATCATTCACTATTCATATTTTCACTATTATCGTGTCCCGAGAAAGAGTGAGAGGTTGTTGTTTTGCGTTAGTGGCAGTTAAGTGAAACAGACATCACAGTGTGTTACTGCTACATTCACCATCCTCCAGTCTCTCTCTGATGCTTGTTCAATCTCCCTCTCGCTCTCGCTCTTGCTCTCCCCCTCCCCCTCCCCCTCCCCCTCCCCCTCCCCCTCCCCCTCTCTCTCCGTCTCTCACCCGACTTAACGCTGCAGTGCACGTGGGCCTTGGACTCGTAGTAGACCCAGTCGAAGCCGGCCTCCACGGCCAGTCGAGCCAACATGGCGTACTTGTTGCGGTCGCGGTCAGAGGTCGTGATGTCAACCGCCCGTCCCTCGTAGTGGAGCGACTCCTCAGAATGGTGTCCGTCCTCGTCCCAGCCCTCAGTGACCCGGAGGCGCACCCCTGGCCACAGGTTCATCACCGAGATGGCCAGAGAGTTCAGCTTGTCCTTGCAGCGCTGCCCGGGGAGGGTCAAGGTTTAAGGGTCATGGGAGGGAGGCAAGAGAGACAGGAGTGTTAGAGATGTGGGGTTATACTACATGCGTCAGTGTGTAATCCAAAGTGCATTTATGACAGTTCATGGACATAAAATGGCTGAAAGAATGATTACACATCCATCTCAATGTAGTCCATAACTCTTTCCCAATGGTCTTTCCTTGATTCCTCATGTCCTCTTTTCTCACCTCCTGCTCAAAACGCATTGGAGGAGAAGATCAATAGTCCCTAAGCAAGTATTCGAGGACAGCCAATTGAGAAAGAACCCTGGTCCTATAGCTATCCATCAGGCATCCACCCAATCCAACCAACGTAGAAGCCTGGGGCTGTTCAACCAACCAGCCACCCCACCACAGAAGGCTCCACTCCCCAACACCACCCCCCTGCATCTGGCCAGCCGACAATGCCCCCCCACCCCCACAGTCCCATCAGCCCTGGTGTTTGCTCTCTGTGGCGAGAGAGGAGGCTGAGAGTCTAAGTTAGGGACCAGAGAAAGGGTGGAGAGGTAGGGTGGGTTGGGGTGAGGTTAGGGGGGTATTGGGGTAGGGGGGTGAAGTTAGAGGGTATTAGAGAGGAGGATTGAGGGAGACGTGGGTATGGACAGCACGCCAATGCAGCTCTCCCCAAATTTGGGTTTGGTGAGGGTGAGCAAATAGAAGGTGAGAGGGCCTATTGAGGACCCTGAGGGTGTTGGACGCCCCCTAGTCCGCACCCCACACACAAACCAAGCACACACACACACACTTGCCCTAAGATCAGCTAAAGCTGAATCTCTCATTCTTTTTGTCACCATCATCCCCAATAGGAGACATGCCACTAATTTATTGTGATAACTGTGAAAACCATTGGAGCAGGGTTATTCACATCTCACCCTATAGGAGGTCCGGACTAGTGCTGGTTTTCTGTTCTACCTGATAATGAATTGCACTCACCGGGTGTCCCAGGTCTAAATCATTCCCTGATTAGAGGGGAAGAATGACAAAAAAGCAATAGAACTGGCTTGGAGGTCCAGATTTGAATTTGAGGGACATGGTGTCATGTAGACAGTGTGACACATAGCTTCTGCAGACTGAAAGGGTGGGTTAGGTCACAGGTTTCCCTGAGCCGGTGATATACACAGGCCCTTACTGTTTCACCCTGTGTACATTTCCGTTTCTAACACATACAGTGTACATGTCTGGTAGGTATATATATACAGTGAATTCGGAAAGTATTCAGACCCTTTGAAAAAGCTTATTCTAAAACTGATAAAATAAAATAAAATCCTCATCAATCTACACACAATACCCTATAAAACAGAAATACCTTATTTACATAAGTATTCAGACTCTATGCTATGAGACTCAAAATTGAGCTCAGGTGCATCCGGTTTCCATTAATCATCCTTGAGATGTTTCTACAACTTGATTGGAGTCCACCTGTGGTAAATTCAATTGATTGGACATGATTTGGAAAGGCACACACCTGTCTATATAAGGTTGCACAGTTGACAGTGCATGTCAGAGCAAAAACCAAGCCATGAGGTCGAAGGAATTGTCCGTAGAGTTCCAAGACAGAATTGTATCGAGGCACAGATCTGGGGAAGGGTACCAAAACAGTTCTGCAGCATTGAAAGTCCCCAAGAACACAGTGGCCTCCATCATCCTTAAATGGAAGAAGTTTGGAACCACCAAGACTCTTCCTAGAGCTGGCCGCCAGGCCAAATTGAGCAATCGGGAGAAGGGCCTTGGTCAGGGAGGTGACCAAGAACCCGATGGTCACTGACAGCTCCAGAGTTCCTCTGTGGAGATGGGAGAACCTTCCAGAAGGACAACCATCTCTGCAGCACTACACCAATCAGGCCTTTATGGTAGAGTGGCCAGACGGAAGCCACTCCTCAGTAAAAGGCACATGACATCCCGCTTGGAGTTTGCCAAAACGCACCTAAAGGACTCTCAGACCATGAGAAACAAGATTCTCTGGTCTGATGAAACCAAGATTGAACTCTTTGGCCTGAATGCCAAGCGTCACTTCTGGAGGAAACCTGACACCATCCCTACGGTGAAGCATGGTGGTGGCAGCAGAGAGACCTGAAAATAGTTGTGCAGCGACGCTCCCCATACACTCTGACAGAGCTTGAGAGGATCTGCAGAGAAGAATGGGAGAAACTCCCCAGATACAGGTGTGCCAAACTTGTAGCGTCATACCCAAGAAGACTTGAGGCTGTAATCGCTGCCAAAGGTGCTTCAACAAAGTACTGAGTAAAGGGTCTGAATACTTATGTAAATGTCATATTACGTTTTTTTTATTTTAAATACATTTGCACACAAAAAATAAAACTTTTGCTTTGTCATTATGGGGTGTTGTGTGTAGATTGATTAGGAAAAAATACAATTAATCAATTTTAGACAAAGGCTGTAACGTAACAAAATGTGGAAAATGTCAAGGGGTCTGAATACTTTCAGAATGCGCTGTATATATATACAGTGGGGAGAACAAGTATTTGATACACTGCCGATTTTGCAGGTTTTCCTACTTACAAAGCATGTAGAGGTCTGTAATTTTTATCATACAGTGGGGGAAAAAAGTATTTAGTCAGCCACCAATTGTGCAAGTTCTCCCACTTAAAAAGATGAGAGAGGCCTGTAATTTTCATCATAGGTACACGTCAACTCTGACAGACAAAATGAGAAAAAGAAATCCAGAAAATCACATTGTAGGATTTTTAATGAATTTATTTGCAAATTATGGTGGAAAATAAGTATTTGGTCAATAACAAAAGTTTCTCAATACTTTGTTATATACCCTTTGTTGGCAATGACACAGGTCAAACGTTTTCTGTAAGTCTTCACAAGGTTTTCACACACTGTTGCTGGTATTTTGGCCCATTCCTCCATGCAGATCTCCTCTAGAGCAGTGATGTTTTGGGGCTGTCGCTGGGCAACACAGACTTTCAACTCCCTCCAAAGATTTTCTATGGGGTTGAGATCTGGAGACTGGCTAGGCCACTCCAGGACCTTGAAATGCTTCTTACGAAGCCACTCCTTCGTTGCCCGGGCGGTGTGTTTGGGATCATTGTCATGCTGAAAGACCCAGCCACGTTTCATCTTCAATGCCCTTGCTGATGGAAGGAGGTTTTCACTCAAAATCTCACGATACATGGCCCCATTCATTCTTTCCTTTACATTGATCAGTCGTCCTGGTCCCTTTGCAGAAAAACAGCCCCAAAGCATGATGTTTCCACCCCCATGCTTCACAGTAGGTATGGTGTTCTTTGGATGCAACTCAGCATTCTTTGTCCTCCAAACACGACGAGTTGAGTTTTTACCAAAAAGTTCTATTTTGGTTTCATCTGACCATATGACATTCTCCCAATCCTCTTCTGGATCATCCAAATGCACTCTAGCAAAACTTCAGACGGGCCTGGACATGTACTGGCTTAAGCAGGGGGACACGTCTGGCACTGCAGGATTTGAGTCCCTGGCGGCGTAGTGTGTTACTGATGGTAGGCTTTGTTACTTTGGTCCCAGCTCTCTGCAGGTCATTCACTAGGTCCCCCCGTGTGGTTCTGGGATTTTTGCTCACCGTTCTTGTGATCATTTTGACCCCACGGGGTGAGATCTTGCGTGGAGCCCCAGATCGAGGGAGATTATCAGTGGTCTTGTATGTCTTCTATTTCCTAATCATTGCTCCCACAGTTGATTTCTTCAAACCAAGCTGCTTACCTATTGCAGATTCAGTCTTCCCAGCCTGGTGCAGGTCTACAATTTTGTTTCTGGTGTCCTTTGACAGGTCTTTGGTCTTGGCCATAGTGGAGTTTGGAGTGTGACTGTTTGAGGTTGTGGACAGGTGTCTTTTATACTGATAACAAGTTCAAACAGGTGCCATTAATACAGGTAACGAGTGGAGGACAGAGGAGCCTCTTAAAGAAGAAGTTACAGGTCTGTGAGAGCCAGAAATCTTGCTTGTTTGTAGGTGACCAAATACTTATTTTCCACCATAATTTGCAAATAAATTCATTAAAAATCCTACAATGTGATTTTCTGGAGAAAAAAAATCTCAATTTGTCTGTCATAGTTGACGTGTACCTATGATGAAAATTACAGGCCTCTCTCATCTTTTTAAGTGCGAGAACTTGCACAATTGGTGGCTGACTAAATACTTTTTTCCCCCACTGTAGGTACACTTCAACTGTGAGAGACGGAATCTAAAACAAAAATCCAGAAAATCACATTGTATGATTTTTAAGTAATTAATTTGCATTTTATTGCATGACATAAGTATTTGATCACCTACCAACCAGTAAGAATTCTGGCTCTCACAGACCTGTTAGTTTTTCTTTAAGAAGCCCTCCTGTTCTCCACTCATTACCTGTATTAACTGCACCTGTTTGAACTCATGACCTGTATAAAAGACACCTGTCCACACACTCAATCAAACAGACTCCAACCTCTCCACAATGGCCAAGACCAGAGAGCTGTGTAAGGACATCAGGGATAAAATTGTAGACCTGCACAAGGCTGGGATGGGCTACAGGACAATAGGCAAGCAGCTTGGTGAGAAGGCAACAACTGTTGGCGCAATTATTAGAAAATGGAAGAAGTTCAAGATGACGGTCAATCACCCTCGGTCTGGGGCTCCATGCAAGATCTCACCTCGTGGGGCATCAATGATCATGAGGAAGGTGAGGGATCAGCCCAGAACTACACGGCAGGACCTGGTCAATGACCTGAAGAGACCTGGGACCACAGTCTCAAAGAAAACCATTAGTAACACACTACGCCGTCATGGATTAAAATCCTGCAGTGCACGCAAGGTCCCCCTGCTCAAGCCAGCGCATGTCCAGGCCCGTCTGAAGTTTGCCAATGACCATCTGGATGATCCAGAGGAAGAATGGGAGAAGGTCATGTGGTCTGATGAGACAAAAATATAGCTTTTTGGTCTAAACTCCACTCGCCGTGTTTGGAGGAAGAAGAAGGATGA